GTGTATATGATGGGTCAAATGCAGAGGACATATTTTAATTCAGTGTATGTAAAAAATGACAGAGAATGTGACAATAAAGGCTAAAAGGCCCTGATTCTAATGAGAGTGATATCAGTCTTCTCATCTAACCAGTGTATTTTCTAAGGTTATATCTTTAACAGAGAATTGCTGCCTTAGCACAGTTTCACATTATGTATTCACATACATTGTAGTCAGACGCTGTTACTCTCTTTGTACTGTCCTTTCGAGACCTCATGTATATTTGACTATGTCTCCCAGCAAGACTTTCTCATCAGTGTCTATGTATATCCAGACAGCATGAGGGAGAGGTATAAATGAACCTTTAGAGACTTCACCCTGCTGATGCTAATGGGAAGGATAGGCGGGTAGCTGTGGAAGCTAATTGTCTGACTGCTTCAGGAGGCAGGTTCTGTCCCTCTCCTTTATCAGCAAGTGTCTTCATTAGTAGGTACTGATGAGCTTGGCAAGGTCAAGTCAGGAAAGTTGCATATACTGATGTCCAGTTAGACTCGCAGCCAGCCAGCTTCTTTGCCCAAGGCATTTTATTTCAGTGGTCAGACATTAAGGAATAAAATAGAGTTATATTATGGTAATTTTAGAACAAAGAGGAGCCTTTATTTCTTTTGGTACTACATGGAATTAATTACTGGGAAAGAAAATTGTTTTCGTGCAATCTCATAGTGCATTTGTTCTTGCAAGCTAAAGCAAACAAGTGATATCAATCACCTTGTTAAGGTATCAGCATGATCAGTGTAGACCTATTTATGTAAGTGTTTCCAGTATACATAAAAAAATGTTGGTCTTCAGATGGCCAAATGATAATCAATGTGACAACTCAAAGTGCTGTAAATGGCAAGATGTGAAGCGTCTGACTCTTTGACTAACGGACCTTAATATGCCTCATGGCTACAGTTGAAAAGACCAGGCTTCTCAGGGGGTCACAACACAATGTTTTTCTGGAAAGCATGTGATTAGAGCTCAAAAACAGTTCAAAGCTTATTTCAGTGAATACATAAAATAAATTTAACACAGTGACAAAGTGTGCACACGTCATTTGCACCTTCACTGTTGCAGGAGAAGGCGATGGAGGTGATCATTTGGGCATCACATGGGTGCTAAAAAGAGGAAGAAATTATTATTATTTCTTTTACCATTTCTGGCATATAGCTGAGGTATGTCAACCACTGGCACAATAGCAACCTGTCAAAAAAATGAAATTAAAATCGTGAACTGGAATAGAAGTAAAACTAAATCTAACACAGGGTTGTTGTTTTAAACTGAGAAAATCTATACTGACTGTTATTCCAGTATACCACAGACAACTTTCAACAGCTTAGAATTAATATTTAGATAAAATAATCCAAAATGTACTGACAAGCTGCAGATTTAACACAGGATGTAATAAAAGCTTTCACTATTGATGAAGAGCTCACCTTTCCCAAGTAAGCCTTAAATGCTGTAGCCATCAATGATGTATGAGATGCCAAAAACACACGTAAACTGTAAATGTAAGAAACAATGACCTCAATCTAACCTAACGAGGTAAAACACTGGCAAACTAACACAGCACTGGTGCAGCTAGAGCTGAATGTGCTAAGAGCTAATGTTTGCTATTTGTTAGTTTGTCTTTATGCCTCTGATGAAGAATTATAAGGACTATAATAAAGACGCAGCTTACTGTATGGACTTCTACCGTTGCTACATATCATTGATTACTGTCATTTCATTTTAATTGGCTGTCAGCCAGTGGCCACTGCCAAGACTCTGATATGACCAAACAGAAACTGACGCAGCAAAATAAGGGAAATCTGGCCAATTCTAGCACAAACCAGATAGGGAATCCAGGGAGGATTGATGAGGGCTTGATGAAGCATAACAGAGAGAAAAAACTTAGATGACCTTGCGTGTGAAAAGCAGATGCTGTTGATGTTGAGCCAGATTCACTCTGAACTGAGAGGAATTTGTGGTAAAAGCTTCCTCGAAGACAAGGTTCAGAGGCAGAAAATGACTTACTTAGACTACCAATAAACTATATCAGGATTAAGACAGTGAAGACATTTATCTTGTTGCATTTGTATTTTCACAGTGAAGCGTTTGCTTCTGGCTTCTGAATTGCTGAACAGATCGTTGTCTGAGAGAAGAGATTCTGCTGACCATATCAAGTCTAATTAATTTAAGCTGTTACTAAATCACAACTCAACTTCTAAGAAGGCTGTTTTATGTGAAGTGCCAGCCTTAACATGGGGCTCTTGCTAAAATTGTTTTTTAGATTTGGAATGTTTTGATGAGAAATGTAATCCTTAGGGTTAGGGTTAAAGAAAGAGGTGAAATTTTGCCATGACAGCCCCCTTCAATATTTTTATATTAATAGACCGTTTTGACAGCAGCCATTTTGTCATAAAATACTATATAGACAGGTGTTACCAGTAATACTAATTAAGGTTCCATTCAGGTAAAACAGAGTCAGGGTGCTGCTATTATGTTATGTTGGCTCATTGGAAAGGATCTCCTTAAAATATACAGGAATGAAGTCACACAAATAAATAACAATATTCTCCAGCATTACACTGAAATATATTCCCACTCTAACAAGTTATCTAACAATAAACAACTTGCCATTGGTAAATCGAGCCCACATTAATAATGTATTATATGACTTTTTGTATGGCAAAGGTGTCACAATAGTGATGAACCCACAGCTCTACGGAGGACACGACGATACATTCTAAAGTTGCTCTGTGTCTGCTGGATGTAATAGTAATGTAAATAGGTATTATTAACATTAATCGTAACAACCACCCCATCATTTCTGCATTTTTTGACTGATGTGATGTAATAATAAACATGCTGTATGCATGTATCTCATTTCCCTTAACTGAACTTGACAGCTGGTCTCTATATACATATAAACTTGTTTCATAGCAAAATGATCATTATCTCCTACTGTATGTTGGTAAACTGCAACACTTTAGTGTAGTGTAACACCTGATCCTGTGCTCAAGAAACACTCTGTCATTCCACAGTATCTCTGCTATGATTAATGTTGGTTGCCCCTGCGTCTTTTAAAATCCTGCATTGTCCCAGTATTGGGTTTCACCAAGTACTCTCCATTAGCTCTGCTTTGGATTCCTTCCAGAAGATCTTTTCTGAAGAAAGTCCCTGAGGTCAGCCCAGCCATGCCTCTTCCTTTGAAATCACATGTTATCTTCCATCCAATAAAGCGTTGTCTCAGCCAGTGTTCTGGAGGTGTGGCTTCAGAATTGATTTTCTTCCAAACCTCTTTAATGTCTAAGAATCACATCAGTCTACTTAAAACCCTTTGCCCTCTCTTTACTATTTTATCTAAAAGAAGCATTGGTTTTTATTGATCTTTGAACAGATTTGTACCTGCTTTTTGGACATTTGGTTCAACGTGTTGTCCTGGTCTTAACAAAGACTAGTTAAATCACCCCATTAACCCAACATTAACTCTCATCCTATATTGAAAAAACGTAATATGATAAACAACACTAATGACTAAAGATTGATAATTTTTTGTCTTTCCAGTGAAGAGTTACTGACAGCCTGATACACTCACTCTGTCCTTTGAGACTTGGCACCCTGAAGCAGGCTGGTGACAATGTCAGCAGATGTTCTACACTCACTCACAGGTTATTGGATCTGTGCTACACTTGTGTGCAAACGTGTTCACATAGGGTCACTCGAGGTTTCTTATGTGAAACCTTAATATGACTGAATCTGATTCATTCAGTGAAATTCTGTATTGAAATGAGCATTCAACACACCTAACTTAATCTGCTTGCCTGTTTCCAGTTTTTCTATTTAAAGTTGCAACAAGGAACTTTCATTTTCTGTTGGTCCTGGGGGCTCCACGGCCTATTTATCTGATTTAAAAAGGAATCCGACCCAGTGACAGGCATTAAGAATACCTACATAACAACTGTCTTCTTGCTGATGGTCTTTGTCATATCAGTCATATAGAGGCATCAGTATCAAACTGAGACTGTTTTATAAACAGTTAAAAACCCCTTGTAATACGTTCAAGCTTTCTTTGTTATTTATTCACCAGTTCACCTATTTAGTCATCCTAAGTGAGCTGCGGTTGTTGATGCAGTTTGGCTTGTTTCCACTAATGAAGGCGCCACCCAGGATCTGCAGCTCTAATTATTCATTCAGTCCCCAACTGTACCCACTTAAGCTTTAGAAATTGATCAGCAGATGGTATATTATGCCATCCCAGCCATCACACCAGCTGAACATTAAATCCAATGTGGAAATACCTCAAAGTTTTGGTTCGCCCATAATGGTATTTAGTCACACAGATAGTAATGCTTTTATTTTAGTAGTCCGAGTGATAACTGTTGACAGTGGTCTCTGGTTTATCCAGATGAACTAGAGATTACTATTGAAATGGAAAATAATAAAATTGTCCTTCTGTCTGCCATTTTCCATTTTTCCAAGTTTCAGAGGTGAATCTAGCATATATAGATACCACTAGTAGTAAGTTAGAAATATGTGAAGTGACCCTTAAAGATACAGGTAAAATCAGCACCTTTTCTTATATTACAGTTCCAATCATTCATTTTACTAAACTGTGTCTTGATTTTGAAGTAATTGTGGAATATTCATCATCAGGACAGGAGACATCAGGACATCATGGGTTGTGTCTGCTGGACTGACAGATGTCTTGGCACATGGTGGTTGCCATCTGCTTGACAAACTGAACACACAAAATTAGGATTTTTTTGGCTTAACTGACAAGAATGGCAGTGAGCAGTAAACCCAACCCCACCAGAAGCCTTTCACTGACACCACAGAGGCTAAATCCATATGTTTCTACAGTCTGGGGTTATAAATCAAGCCAGCTGTTCAACTAAATATATTGAACTTCCTACCTGTACCTAAAACTTGACTAACTTGATTAACAGTGACATTTTTTAGCCTTAACTGTTTTTGTACTTTTCCCCTATCTCTTCCAGCTTCCTCTTGGTCTTCTCCTGTCTCATACTTTCAGTCTTTGCCACCATCAGAGAGTTCAAAGATAGCTCAGAGAGTGCCTTGTACATCCTGGTAGGTATCCTTGTATCTGCTCTATATTCCATATACATCACATGTGACGTGGTTGACTTTCACTGTTTTGGTTTCTTCCACAGGAAATTGTGACCATCGTGGTGTTTGGAGTGGAGTACATTGTAAGGATATGGGCTGCTGGCTGCTGCTGTCGATACAGAGGATGGAGAGGGAGGCTAAAATTTGCCAGAAAGCCTTTCTGTGTCATAGGTGAGAAAACAGGGTCGGTTTGTGTTTTGCTGGCTGTCATTTTTCTCACCTTGCTTTCTCAGAAGAACGCAGCACAGACACATTACTGTGTTTTTCCATTCCTTCCATTTTCAAGTGCTGGAGGGTTTGAGCGAGGATATTATTACTATCTTTGTTATGCTTTCATGTGATTTTCAGCATATTCTTTGCCTTGAGGTTATGCTAAAAACAAGGTGAAACTAGATTTGTAACCATAGAAGCCTCAATGACAATTCAAATACTAGTTATCCCCAAGTAATTGTTTCAAGTGTTCAGTTGTAAGAAACATGACACTCACAGTATACTCTGAAGTGTTGCTAATACAGTCTGATTTGATCAAGGAGATACTATCTCTGGGCTCCCAGCGAATGTGGACTTCTATGATTGTGTTTCACTCTATCTCTCCAGACATCATGGTGCTGATTGCCTCAGTATCTGTACTGGCAGCTGGATCTCAGGGCAATGTTTTTGCCACCTCGGCCATCAGGAGTTTGAGATTCCTGCAGATCCTGCGCATGCTGCGTATGGACCGCCGCGGAGGCACCTGGAAGCTGCTCGGATCCGTAGTTTACGCCCACAGCAAGGTAAACACTTTGTTCACCAGCGGTTCACTAAGACTAGGGGAGCTGCCACCCCAGTTTGGTGTCAAAATGGTGTCAAATTTAACACATTCATTTAGATTAATTTGAAAAAGAAGGTATTATTTTACATGAATTCACATTTATTATTATTATTCACATATGGAAAAAATTTGGACAGTGCATATGATAGACTTATTTAGTATTGGGAAATAAAACCATTTATTAATTTTTCCCCCTTTAGATATTTCTATTCAATGTTTTACTAGTGTACCACAATAATGTTTTTTAGTTCAAATATCTTCATTTGATAGTGTTTGCAATTAAATCAGCATATATTTCTGCCACACATTAAAGCATCTGTGCTACCCTCTTGCCACCCCATAAATATTCCTCTAGATCCGCCACTGACCAGGAGTTGACCATATCTTTAATGAAACACCTTTCTCAGTTTTTTATTCAAGGGTTAGTATTATCAGTCTGCCATACATATTCAAATCTGATAAACACTACAGTCAAATTAACTAAAGGTTCAATGGGCAATGAAGTCAGAGGATTTCTAGCAAAAAAGACCTGATATGATAAATAATATTTACTATAAACAACACTGTTCTTTACTGCCTTATCTTTAAAAAATAGCCAGATATTTTTTACACAGAAAAACATGCAGAGGGGGTGAAAGTAGTTTTTCAGCCCTGAGTAATGTCTGTAATCTTCCTTTCAGGTTGCATACAGCCTCAATAACCTCCATAAATAAACTAGGTACGCCTGTACGTTGCCCAAGAGGCAAAATCCAGGGCAAGATTTTTAAGTGAGGGAAAAGGGGGACATGTCCCAGCCATCCAGTAGAAATTTTATCTTTGTGTGGAGCCCTATCAAAAATTTGTTTGAGAATCTTCATTGTGAAGACATTCATTTGTATAATAAGTTATTTTATGCCAAATCTTCTGTATGAATATGCCACAAAATGAAGTAAAGATTTGAACAAAATGGACTGCCTCCTTTTTGCTTCTTCAAGACTTCTTCATCAGGCTAGCAAAACATCCTGTTACCACCTCATCTGTTATCTTCTTTATCATCGTTCTCTTTTCCTGGAATCATACCATCACCCATATGTTGAAAATACATTTAGATACTTGTTGTTAGCCAACAAGTCGATCAGGTACAAATACAGGGTAGGTGTTAATCCTCTGTGCAAGTTTAAATCGAACTCTGAGTCACTAGTATTTAAGCCTAGCTCTGAGACTTCTTCACATGGGTTTTGAACAATCAAAGTAGCTGCAGCCATTTATCTTCTACTGTGCTACTTTAGTGACTCACTGTTTCCAGTCACGCTTCTTCCAAGTAATTCTGCAAAAAAAGAAAACATAATTCCACTCAGTTTTAGTTTAATGAGCTTTGAAATAGAATTATTTGCTCTCACTAATAAGCTGTGGAAAAGGTTCAACTGTGTGTGTGTGTTTGTGTGGTAAGAAGGAGGGAGAGTGGTGTGTGGAGTCGAGGGAAATAAAGACGTTTATGAAATACTTGGTTTACCACAGAGGGCATGCGACTCACATAACCACGCCCAATATTATTACAGAATGGCCATTTTTATCCATTTACAGGGGTTACATCAGCACTTTGCAAGGCTTCCTCAATGACACTTTATTACTTTGGATTCCCTGATGTTTATTGTATTGGTTTTCTCTGTAGGAGCTCATCACAGCGTGGTACATAGGCTTCCTGTGTCTCATCCTGGCCTCATTCCTGGTCTACTCTGTGGAAAAGGAGTCAAATGATGAGTTCGAGACTTATGCTGATGCTCTTTGGTGGGGACTGGTAAGACTAAGCTGAAAAAAGGGTCTACAGTAGTTACATCATTCTCTGGTGTACGCGTCCAGTTTCCCCCAAATTCTGTTACAAAATATCTACAACCTCTGTACCATGCCTCTCAAATCAAACTGGTGACTTATGGTGATTTATCTTTTCACCAGATCACCCTCACCACCATTGGCTACGGTGATAAGGTTCCCAAGACCTGGAATGGGCGCTTGCTGGCAGCCACATTCAGCATGATTGGAGTGGCCTTCTTTGCACTTCCTGCAGTAAGTATCAGGGCTCGTCACGATTACTTTTAACCCAGTGTGGTTAATGAAATAGTATAAGCTTAAAGCCACACAATGTAAGATTTGGTATTTGTTGTGATTTGGCGCCACCAATGTCAGAGTGCAATTCCGCTAAATATTCTGTAAATATTGATGCACACTGTACATGTGCATTTGTTATGATTACATTACCTGTGATCAAAAACTAGCCACACATCAAGCACAAGGGACAGCAAGCCAGCTAATATTACATACTAGTCCAATAGCAAGAAGACCAACTTGCCGTCTGTCTTTCAGCCTTTTATTTCACAAATTAAATATCACATTTATTAAAAGAAACACTAATCGATATTCTTATGTTAACAACGGATCGAATGACTATGTAATGTGAAACATGTTGCCCATAGTGATGAACCAACAGAGAATTTCCACCTAATGCAGTGCCATTTATCTCTATGAAGCATTTTAGCATCTTTCAGCTCATTCTTTTGTTTTAAGGAATACAGCTTTTCTGTTTTGGTTTAGTCCTACTGGTCTTTTTTTCACTGTATGCTAACACTAACCATACCTGTATGCTGGATATATAAACACACATAGGCAACTGTTGGCTAGCACAATATCAGTTTTAGAAAGTAGTATGTCAGTGTGATGTCATGTAGGGGCCAAAACAATAATTGAATGTTACTTTATAATGTTATTATTTGTAACAAATAAACTAGTGTGGGATTACATGTAATACATCTATACAAGTGTCCAGTAAAGAATTTCAGCAGTAACAGACCTTTGTCATAGCAGACATTTTGAGTTGCCATAGCAGGAAAAGTGCAGGTGGAACAAATGACACTAATGATCATGGCTGAGTTACATTTGATTGTCTCAGTGAACCAGCATTCATAATATCAGGGCCCCAGACCTGAGACACCTAAATACAATGCAACCATTGCTAATGTAATTATCTGTACTTCCCTGCTATGAAGTGTCTACTATGAAAAATGGATATATATGTTGAAAAAGTACTTTATATGTTGTTGTGCACCTTAGCCACCTGACAGGTCTTTCAGTCATTTATGATCCTACTCTAGTCAGTCAGAAAAATTAAAAATAAGCACTCTGTTACATTAGATTTGCTGTCTGTGCTACAAAAGTAAGCTAAAGGCTCTAAATCCACAAACATGCAGCTATTTTTGCACTTCATTCAGAAAGCTCCCATCTTGTGATGTTAAAATTCCGGTCACTGATGTATTTGTCAGCTGCTGTTAAATGTTTGGCGTTTCACCTGAGATTTGAAGATGTCAGACTCAGCATGAAGCTTTGAGTAAGCAGCCAAGAGCTGTTCAGTCTATCATACATAAAAAAAACTGTGGATTGCTGTATCAGCACTGAGTTAACAGGAAACTTACTACTTTTGCCATATCGACTTATGGCTCACAATTAGGTTACCTTGAGGCTTTGAAGACAGGTTCTTTTGTTTGATTTGCTTGCTGGTCTCTGTTGTAGAAGGACTCCGCAAGGTGTTGGAGAAGAGACAGCTTGTTGATGTTGCAATTACAACCCCTGGCCTGTAGAGGTCAATAAAGGTCACTGATCATTTTATGGGATCTCTGCGTCACTATAGGGTATCCTGGGTTCTGGCTTTGCCCTCAAAGTCCAAGAGCAACACAGACAGAAACATTTTGAGAAGAGACGTAACCCTGCAGCGGGCCTCATCCAGGTACACATCCAAGAAAAACTGTATGATAACACCATATATCTCTCTTTTGTGCTCCTGACAAAAAGGTAAAAGAAATACCTTTTTATTTCTCCATCCAGGGTGCTTGGAGGTTTTATGCTACCAACCTTTCCCGTACTGATCTTTTAAGCACTTGGGATTTTTATGAGCAGACTGTAGCTGTTCCAATGTACAGGTAAGTAATAAAACTGTCTGAATAATGCTGAATATTATTTCAGCATTTTCAATTAATACAACTGTTTCCCCAGATCACATTCTGCCATCTCTCTTGAAACTGGAAAGCTGAGAGGAAATCTGAGCCTACTGAGTATCCTCATCTTATTGTATTCCAAACTCCCTTGTTGGATCTTGTTGTGAAGAATCATACACTGGTGTGACGTTTCACTTTCTGCTTTAATAAGGGTAATTTTACAGTGGATGCGGCTGCTGTTGGCAGTGTCACCTGGCCCTCTTTGAAATGCTGTTCAGAAGACAAACACTGCCAGTGGCTACTTTGTAAAATTAACCACCCATAATTCTGTCCAACTGTATGAATCAGCAAATGAGCCGCTGTGCTTGACTTTCACAATGCAGATGCGTCTACAAGTAGAAGTTTGCTGTTTGTCTGTTCTTTTTGGAAATGGCATCATGTTCGGTTTTATTCCAGCAGTAATTTAAGGTGAAAAGGTGATGACCAGCAGAATAGATAACTGCCAAACTAAATGGAATTAGCTTTAAAGTGCCCAGTGGCGAGCTCTAATCTTTTCAACACTGACTTGGTCAAACTGTCTTGACAGAATAATAAAATGCTCTTTGTCTTTTCTCCAGAATTATTCCACCTCTGAATCAGCTGGACCTGCTGAGGAATCTAAAGGGCAAATCATTCAGGTATAAACATGACAACAGAGCCACTAAGGTGATGATGATGATCTCATGATGACGAGGATGTCAAAATGCTGATAATGGGGATAACAATGATGATTATAATTTTGAAACAGAGGAAGAAGACAGATTTGAAAATAAATAATTTGTCCTCCATGTTAAAGCTACACCTATCAATATTATTAAATTATTCATGACAAGTTTATTGTGTCCTTCATAACTTTGGTTTTCTGGTCTGCAACTTTACTGTTTTGGTTCACTCCCATAGGGCTGTTTGTGGACATAGCAGACATTATTGATTGATGATTTACAGCTGCTTGTTCCCCATAACTCAATGTGTGAAAATATTTTAGTGTCAAAAATCAGTTATTGCAGGTTTAAACAGATAAACAGATAAACAGATTCCATATCCATATCTAGTGATGAAAGCAGCGCTGGATTATATGAATGTTTTGTTGTTTTGTCTTGTTTTGCACCATCACAGCTTTTTACCATCCAGCAGCTAATATTTCTCTGGGCATGTTTCATGTTGCTCGAAAAATTATTCTCAGAGCTAATGCAACTCATCATGGTGCGCTTATGACATACAGTGTAAGAAGTGACTGACCTGCATCCTCTAACAGTTGGAATCTTCTCTCCTCACAGGAAGGAGTCTCAAACAGAAACCTCTCCAAGGTCTGTGATCTGATTGCTTTTGTTTCTCTCTCTTCACCTCCCTTTGGCTTCTCTTCAATTTTGCTCTTAGCTGCTGCTGAGGCACTCTTCTTGGGGGAGTGTGTGTACTGTATATCTGTCTGTGTGTGTGTGTGTGTGTGTGTGTGTGTGTGTGTGTGTGTGTGTGTGTGTGTGTGTGTGTGTGTGTGTGTTGGGGGTTATTGTAAGTCCTGCGTGTCAGACATGTTTGTGGCTGTGTGTTAAGTGCCTCCTTCAAGAACGGTCCTGCTGCATTTGCTCACATGGTGCTCAAAGATCAGCTCAACTTTGGCCTAACTCCCAACTGGCAGCTTTATTAAATATTCACCAATAAGCTGTTCTTTGATAGCTTTCAGCATCACCTTGGGTAAAAGTGATTTTGAACACTTTAAGGGCCTTGCTTGATTTTTGTCACACTGTTTTTGACAAAAGAAACAAGTGTAATTTATGACAATGTCGTAACACTTTATCATGACTTAGTCCTTTATAATCCATCTGCACATTTTGTTGAACTATGATATGAAAAATCAGCCCGAAAACCTCATTAGAAAGATGCTGGAAAAATAAGGCCTGTTAATTTACAACATGATGGACCATCAGGTTGCAAATGAATTATAAATTATAGTTAAAATAAAGTGTTACTGGCACCACAGTATGGCACACACTGCTGTTTTTGACTGTACCCACTGCTATTTTATCTTTTTGTGTCTCCTCTAATGCCCACCACTCCAGTAATGAAAATGCACACAAAGACAGACTTTGCGGGTGCTGTCCGAGAACTCTTAGGTATAGTTGCTGCACAGATACTAACAACTGCACTGCAAGTCTGTGTGTCTCCTTACATTCCTACCTCTGTTCCTCTCCCTCTTTAAACAGACGCAAAAGTAGAGGAATGACAGAATAACAATACAATCTGACTAGTTAACTTTTTATAGTGTTGCTCTGTCAGTGATGTCTACATGAAAACTTAATGCTTAAACACAAGAGCTAATCTGCCCACACCTTTTACCTTTTTCTCTGAAAAAAACGCAGATATACATCCTTGTTTACTGCCTTGTCACAATTGATTTATGGTTTCTGTTTAATAATGTCTTTATGCAATTGATTTGCTTGCTGCCTTTTTTTGCCTATTCAGCACATATAGACTTCTGTTCAGGAGGCGAGGTGCATATTGCTGAGTACCTAATAATTGGTTTCCTTTGACTGATTCCTGTGTATCAGGCGGAGCATACAGTATGATGGTGAATTATTTTGCATGATTTGTGTTCACTTTTTGCATAGAGTGAGGCCACAGCTCTTCCGTTTGAGACGTGCACTGTCACTTTGCTTCCCATGCATGCTTGCTTGTAGCTTCCTGCTGCTTGCCTGACCCACTGAATGCTCCACTGTGTTCGTATGTGGACATGGCTCCTTCTGCTGTAGGACATTGCCCATTTTGCGTTTCTGCTGAGGTAAGATTTACAATCACATCAGTGCTGAATTCCATCAGTTCCCTAGATTATGCTTAAAACAACAAAGTACTAGGATAAAGACATTTAGTTACAGATATTTATTCACTTAATTAAATTATGCTGTAAAAAAAACTTGGTTCATTCGTTCTTCTCATTACTTGCTCTCTGTAGTCGGAAGGCCAGCCTGAAGGACAAGGTGTTCCCCAGTCCTTCCAAGGCTCCTGTGGCAAAAGGGAAGCCCCAGTCTCCAGGGGCAGAGGACAGGACAGAGGCGAGTCCCAGCAAGGTCAGCAAGAGCTGGAACAACCTGGAGAACCGAGGGCCAAAGCACGCATTCAGAGTCCGGGGCAGCACCTCGCGCCAAAACTCAGAGGGTGAGGGAACTTATAACCTCAATAATGAGCCTTCCATTACTTTTATATTTAGAATATTTAATATATAGGAATGTAAATTATTTATTTGCTCTATAATATTATTCATGTTAAGGAAGAAAGTCTCATGAAACACCAAACTCTGGAGAGAAACTGACTATTTAACATAGGTTTGCAGCTTTCCAAAGGAATAGCCCAACATTTTAGGAACTACGCTGATTCGCTTTCTTGCCGAGCGTTAAATGAGAAGATCAATACCGCCCATGTCTGTATTGTAAATATGAAACTACAGCCAGGAGACTATTAGCTTAACTTAGCATAGAGACTGGAACCAGTGGTGAACTGTCAGCCTGGCTCGGTCTAGAAGTAACAAAATCCACCAGCACCTGTAAAGCTCACTAATTAACGCCTTGCATCTGGTTTAATTTGCTTAACACCTGTATACAGCATAAAAAGACTAAAAGTCTAAATGTTAGCTGTTCTGTGAGCTGTACTAAGGCACATTGTTGCTTTGAGCTAAATGATAACTTCCGATTGCTAAGATGCTTACTGTGTCAATGCTAACACCATGATGATGATGAAAAATAACAAGCAATTGGCATTTACTCAAAACCACAAACCTTATGCCTCAAGGAGAACTCAGGCATCATCAAAGTCATTAGTGTACATATCTGGGAACCATGAATTCCTGTACACAATGTTATGCCAATCGGTTGTTGAGATATTTCAGGATAAGAACATTTTGATCTACCATGCTATAAGAAATGTCAGGGGACACCAGAGTGCCTTGGAATCATTCTTTGAGGACCAAATGTTGTGGCACTCTGGACCACAGGGTACTGACCACCCCACATTTTGATCTCCAGAGCCAGTTGCCAAGACGGGGGTCAGTGCTCAGTTTTTGAATGCTTTAAAATTAAACATCACAAAGCTTTACAAGCTCACAAATTACCTCACCTTTGGGCAGATCCAGCCTTGCTGTTTCCTCCTGCTTCCTGTATTTATGCTAAGCTTATTGCTCGCTAAGGATGGAGGGTGTCACCCTTTGAAGCTAAATTGTGATTTGTGATTTTAGCTGTAGAAAGAATACTCACTTGATGGTCAAACTACTCATCAAACCTCCCAGCAAGAAAGTGATAAACGTAATCCCCAAAATGTCAAACTGTTCCTTTAAGCTATGTGACCATATTAAACTGTAGAGAAACTCTGGGCTCCTTCAAAGTCTTTCAAATTACAAATCACATTTCAAAGAAGAAAACAATTCAATTCAGTAACAACAAAACTGCATTGTTGTTTTACTGGCAGTTTTCATACAAAGAAAGATGCCTTTATAATATCTTTCAGTGCACACAACAGGCCTTCATAAAAAGCTAATATACATCCAGTATTTTAACAAGTCACTGTATTGGTCAAATTTTCCTTCAGTTTCCTTCATTAATGCCATTTTTCTAAACCAAATCTGTTGGCATTTAGATCACAAGTTATTGTTGATAAAACCATGTACAGTATCTTACTTGACTATTGCTTAAATTGTTAATGCTGGAAATTTCCACAGTTCTAAATCAGTTGTAGGATATTCATCACAGTGAGGCTCCATGCCAGCTCAAGGCCAGCAACTCCACAGCTGTGTGCTGAAGGAGGGTGTTGAAGGCATTTAGAGTAATTGTTAGCAATCAAGCCTCTCCCTTTAAGATGCAGTCTTTGTGCAGACTTGTCTTGCAGGTAATTGCTATATAGTTTGTCCTGCATGTATTGAAACATATGAAGAAGATGGGGCCATTTTCTCAACACACTAAAACCAACAATTCAACATTGTACTGGGGTGACAGAGGTCTGTTTGTGTCCGGCCATCATTTATTGCTAGAAAAGCCCAATTGCATCCATATGTCATCCAGGCCACTGTATCACTATCAACAAATATACTTCTTCTTTACCATTCTTTCTGCCTTTTTGTTAAACAATTTAAACCAATTCTCATTAGTTCTTTTTCTTCTTCCGCTTCATGGCATGTTAAAGTGCTGATTGAAATGCAGGACGAAGACTTTGGACTGAAGAGTTCTCCAGGTTAGATAAGTCATCATGACATGTCTTCAATTTAGGTACTCTGTAATGTATATTTTACCATATATGTTATATGAAGCTTTATAATATATGTAGTTTGTTAAGCATAGATGTAAGAGAAGAGAGACCAGCCCTTTCAAACATGAACCAGAAACCATTCAGTGGACTCCACAAGTTCCCATGTTTGGAATTGATTTGTCTGCCATAGTCATCCTGCTAGAATCCATAACAAATCTTTCTCCATGTCTCTCCTCTCTCTCTTTTCGCAGCAATTGAAGGTTTAATAAGTAAGACATTGGGATATTTTGTTGGTTGGCTTCTATGGGGGAAATAATCAAAAGAAGTCGGGTTCACCGGTCTGAGAAAACCTGCATGCTGAAACCTGCTGAGATTTGTTCACTTGACATGAACCCTTTTCATTTTGATTTTTTTCTTATATGAGTCCCCTCCCCCCAATAATGACTGAAGACTGAAGCATGATACTAGCAGAGAACACGCATGTAATGATTTAAGTGTTTATTAGGATCCTAATAACGCCATACACATGATTATAGTATTCATTTACAGTAGTGGCAGGCAAGTTAATGTGGTAGGCAAGTTAATTGTGGGTTCAAGTCAAGTGGTGCCAAGACAATCCAAAACCAACCCAGAGACGAGATGCCCAAAAGCCGCGCTTTACGTTGCATGAAGAGACCTCACTTTCCCTACCAGATTCTCATCTAATTTCTGATAAACAGTGATTAGGCCTTTGCCTCTATGCAATATGCTGCAAAATCCATAGATTAGCCTTCTGGCTAAACTCAACATGCTAGTCTAAATGCTAATCTAGAGTGTAATTGGTGGTGGGAAGAGAGTACTTGTCATTAAAGGTTCCAATAAAGCTTTATCCCATCAGCACTATCCTTCAATTCTGCACCAAGTCTTTTTGTTTTGTTGTTCACCAAAGCCCACTCACTACGCTCACAAACTGGCTAACTGGCTTGAAACCAACTTGGTAATTGAATTTTGCACCTTTTGAAAGCTAAAAGCAACAGCTCTGCTTTGCTTCTGCTGTGGACACTGGTTGTGTGGAAGCAGATGAGATATTCTTTAAGAGTGTCCTTCTCTTTGCTCTGTAGAGGCGAGTCTCCCAGGAGAGGAAATTGGTGATGATAAGAGCTGCCACTGTGAGTTTCTCGCTCAAGACTTACCACCAGGCTTGAAGGTTACAATAAGGGCAATCTGGTAAGGATTCGCTTTAATACCTAGTTTTTATGGTTCTGCAATGTTTACTTCACCCATGGAGACACAATAGGCAATTACTGTTTGTGTTTATGTATTTTCCTTTAGCTTGTGGTCATCTATGGTGCAGGTTTTACTAGCTCTGACTGTGTTTAAAGGATAATTCCAGTTTCAAGATTTACTCTTTTAGTTTTACATGGTTACATTGCTAAACAGATAAAAGAATGCAAGCAGTTCAATATCCAGGTTATTCAAAATTTGTATATCAGTATATAGTATATATTAGTATATGATGGTGATGGTACATTTTACAGACAACTTTCTGGTTATACTTTGACAAACTGACTTTACTGTAATCGAGTGTGCACAGTTTTCCTTTGCAATTATACATTGTTTATATTACTATTATATTACATTTTGTAGCACTGATTTGAGTTTTATCTCCAAATAAAGTATTTGGATGTAATCTGGCTGTCTGGTTGTCTACCTGTTTCTGTTTGTTTGCCTCATTGGACTTTGTTGCAGTGATATTACCATGTTGCCAGATCTCAGCCAATACTTTGTCAGTGTTGTTATAACCGAAAGGATGATCAGAATTATGAGCTTCTTAATTCAAGGTCCACTTACTAGATTTTTCCAGAGCATTCAACCACAGCTAACAGTCTCTATCAGTGGGAGGAGTTTTCTCAGTTGTCAGTGGAGTTGCCAATATACAGTATGTCCACCTGTTATCACTTGACCAAAGATCCACACCTAGGTCACATGATGACAAGTGAGCCAACTTGTGAGATGTGGTGGGAAAAGCTAGTAAGTGTGCCCTGGGTTAAGATTATTTTGTCCAACTTTTTATTACCCTTTAAGAAAGAGTTTTCTGCATCTGCTGTGTCAAATTGGTATGACTGGCATTTTTAATGAAACACATTTTGACATGTCACAGTAGGAAAAGCACTGTAAATAATTAAATTAATGATGGCTGAATTCCATTTAGCTGCTTCAGTTTCAGACACTGGGTATTGTTGATACTGGGTCACGGGACACTTAATTAATGTTACAAGTAACACCTGTGCTTTTCCGACAAGTCAAAATGTGTCACATGAGAAAAAAAAATGTGTCCTCCCTCAGCATCATGAAGTTTCTGGTGACAAAGAGGAGGTTCAAAGAGAGCCTGCGGCCTTACGATGTCATGGATGTGATCGAGCAGTACTCTGCAGGTCACCTGGACATGCTGTCTCGCATTAAGAACCTGCAGTCCAGGCAAGTACATTCACAGTATTTACAGTATATTTACACCGGTTTAAAATCTGACCCACACTCATTTAACACGTTCACTGTGAGCCTAATGACAGGATGGATATTGAGTATACATGGAAGCATTTTCAGAGTTTTTTATTTGGTTACATAATTAGAGTAGAGATGTGTATCAGTAATTGTTTGTGGTGTCACTGGATACACACATGTTGTGACACACAAGTCATTGATATGCCTGTTTCATTTGTCCAACTACATGTGTTGTATTCAGGTCTCAGTTTTATATCTCTAACCTTTATATATCCAAATATGATTCACTCCTTCAGCTTTGAATGCGTCACAAACTCATTTTCGATATGACATTGATGTATAACTCACATTGTTTTCTGTATCAGTTTTACCTCCTGCAAATTAGCTCCTCACATTTTGATCCCCCTGAAGGTCTAACATGTAGGATAAATATATTCCAACAGTGAAATACATGCACTTTGCATCCTCGAAGCAAGTCGGACTCACTGTATGTCTCGTGTGTGTGTGGAATATATTGAAACTTGTACTCCATAGCTGATGTGATTCCCACGTTGCTTCATTTTGCATTGCACTCATATCGTCTCTGTGTGCCTTGCCAGGATAGATATGATTGTGGGGCCCCCTCCCCCATCAACACCTCGCCATAAGAAGTCCACTGAAGGTCCTAGGTTAGGTTAATAGACTGCACCTCTAGAATGACCGTTTTACCAGCATTATGCTCCTAATACCATAGTCCAGATATTAAAGCAGTTACATGCTACCTTATTATTTTGATTGACGAAACCCCTTTTGAGTTCAAACCACTTGACCTGTCTCATTTGGCTAATAATACGTGCTCAAGCAAGATCTTAAGATATTAAATAAAATCAAGAAAGGTGTTTGATAAACAGTTTTATATGCAGCATTTTGAGGATGTCACTTTAGCTCTTGGGTCACGTTATATCAGCTGCTGTCAAGAAAAGGCCAAACAAAGAAGAAAAAGTGAGACATCCCGCGGCTTTCTTACCGAATGTTCATGAGCTATGTCATAGGGCCTCACTCAACAGGGGTTTGACAGTGCTAGATGCTTGCTCTCACACTGGAGAGACAGAGGGAGAGCTCCCCCAGTAGGTTGCAATGGAAATGAAGCATGAAGCACAACAAAAGCATGCCAAGTGATGCATTTTGGCCCCTAGACAAAATGTCCCCTCTATTCACACTGTTAAAGACTGCAAAATCTCATAATGCATGCATCCACACCCACCGTCCACCTGAAGTCAATACTAGGAAATGCTTAAGTGTCAGGCCATCATTCATTCATTCAAAACATATTCGTAGCTTGACGAGTATCATCAACATAAACGCTTTCTTTACCTTATTCCCATGCAACAGTATTTCAAAGTATGGCATCATGAACTTTAGTTAAAACAAAAGGGTTAAACCCTTGTGGCACAACAGAGTGTGTTTTTTAATCTCAGATATTACTTTTCTCAAATGCTAGAGTTGACCAGATAGTTGGTAAAGGTGCTAAAGCTGAAGGAGAGGCTACAGATGACCAGAGCATGATGGGACGTCTGGTCAAGGTGGAAAAACAGGTACGAATGTTCCTTCCAGGTCTGTAAAAGTCTTACAAGTTGGTTTAAGGTCAAACATGGCTGGTGATTGAACTATTTCTTTATTTTGTGTTTTTCCGTCTCCCTGCAGGTGGTCTGTATGGACAGGAAACTTGATTTCCTGGTCAATGTGTATGTGCAGCGTATGGGTATCCCTCGTTCAGAAACAGAGGCCTTTTTCAACTCCAAAGAGCCGTATCCAGCCCCGCCTTACCACAGCCCAGAGGAGAGCAAGGTGGAGAAGGAGGATAAAGAGGAGGTAAAAGAGGAAAAGGAGGTGAAGACATGCTCTCCTGCAGATGTCCCGTGTTCTGATGGGTCTCTAGAAAAGAAAGATCCTTTACTGGGTCGGTCTGTGGCGATATCGGTGGGTACTCCCTCTGGCAGCCACAGCCGTCCCTCTACCTCCTGGCAGCACCAGCTGCAGCATCCCCTCAGCCAGCCCGCCTGGAACAGCAGCGTGGCCAACACCCCTTCACCAGTCGGTGGCAGCGGCGATCATTCGCCCACCCTGTTCCGGCTCCCGCCTCCACCTGCTGCTGTCCACGACCGATCCTCCTCCGGCCCGGGTGGCAGTGGCAGAGAGAGCAGCTCCCAGGGCAGGAGGCGCCACAGGAGGCAGAGGTGTCAGCAGGATGCCACCGCTGTTGAGAGTGACACGTCTCTATCCATCCCGTCAGTTGACCACGAGGAGCTGGAGCGTTCCTTCAGTGGCTTCAGCATCTCCCAGGCTAAGGAGGACTTCTTTGGGCCTTCTTACTTTACAGGCTCAGGGGGGGCAGCTGGAGCAGGGACTGAAGCCGCAGCTGGACCCTCACTCTGTGCCAGGGTCAGACCCTTCATAGCAGAGGGAGAATCAGACACAGACTCTGACCTCTATGCTCCCTCTCCTCTGTCCTTCACTGGAGAGGTCTCATGTGGGGAGAGGGCATGGCCAGGACTGAAGTAGGTCAGGAAAGGACTGTTCTGCCTGGAGAGAAGAGATTGACGCTTCACTTGCCAACAGAAGACCTTTCATGAGACCTTGTAGCCAACTAACTGACTGTTGATGATGCTATTACAGACTATTGTACGTTAAGTGAATGGTTACGATTAGGTGTTAGGTGTATTGCTGAAGATGGTTAAAATATTAAAACAAAGGGGTTGTTCTTTATCACCTTTTTGGTTTGTGATGTAACACTACAAGCAATGCTTCATTACAGTTGCATTGTATCCATAAAGATTTTGATTGAATAGGGGAAAAAAGCTATCAAGGGACATTTCTTTAACTTGTTGGGGACATCTTTGTTGCATTTATTAGTAATGAAAGGTACATGAGAGTGTAGAGGTGTGAGAGACACATATTTTGTCATCAAACTTATACTTTTACATTGATTTTTATGGAACATACAAGATAAAATCACTTTATTTTATGAATAGTGAGTGCATTTCAACACTTCCACTGTTATACCAACCACTTTCAAAATATAGTGGGAGTTAGTAATGCAAGATTGTTAAAATCACATTGGTTAGCATAGTGTCTTGATAACTTCTATACCTTTGAATGACTTGAGGTGTTATGATGCCAAAACCTTAGCTATGATAATCAATTAGATTCTCGCAGTGTAAAAAAAAGTGCTTGCTTTTCAGCATCATTAATTGGTGCCTGGTGTTTACTGAATACTGCAGAAGAACTCCCCTCAAAGTATTGCAGATACTTCCCCGTCAATAAACCAGTGAAACTACAGCATGGCATGTTAAATGGTTGATTTAAGGACTGCGTAACCACAAAACCAGACAACAGCTGCGAAAAGTCAGCAGAATGATTCCACGATTGTTTTTCTTCTATACTGGCAAACAGAGCGGTGAATAAAACATTAAAAAGTGCATGCATGACTGGTTTCAAGCCACGACGTGTTGATTTTTTTTATGGGGCTTTGCTTGAATTCCAATCATGTAAATGCAGCCCGAGCTTGCTAATTTCAATGGCTCTTCTTTTCTGGGCAAATACGTCCATCAATTATGTATACATGAAATACAAAGGCAGAGGTTTAATGTCGCATATGGAAATGAAGTGCTCATACATTGTGTATTGTTATCACACAACATGCGGTGTTGAAGTTGGATTGAGTGGGGCATTTGTTACTCAGACACGATGGCATTTAGCCTGCAATGCATTGGTCAGTCATTTAGACTCTCTGCTGCTGTGTCAGTTTGGCACTTAATGAGGAAATGCAATAAAAAGCAAGCAAGGCAATCAAGAACCATCCTTTACCAACATTGACATGGCCTTATTTTTCACAAAAAAGTCCACTGTTTTATAAGTAAACAGATTAACAATTTAATTCTAAACATTTCATAAAAGTAGTGCAAGTACATTTTCAAGTGTAGTCATCAATAATGCTAAAAGCATGGGATTCATAGGGGCATCTGAACCATGGACAGTTCTTCCCAAGTCACAGCAAATCAACATTTTAATATTAACACTGAAACATGGACATGATGACAGAGGATATATCATTTAACAGAGACGTTCACACAAGTTTCGCAATCCATACTTTTCAGAAAAGAAGAAACAAAACTGCTGGCATGTTTTCTACAACCCAAAGAAAGGACCTGTAGGGTTTTACATGATACAGTAACTCTTAGTTCAACACCGTCATGTAACTGCACCTTCTTTGTCTTCAATAATAAAACTTTGTACATCACTGAAAAAAAAAAAAAAACATTCTCTGGTCTCGTTTTTATTCTCTATGTGTAATGGTGGCCATTTATCACTAGATGGCAACCAATAGCTTCAGTTGAGTTGGTCCTTTTTAGATAGATAGCTAGATAGATAGATATGGTCAATAGTATATGGACACCTGAACATTGCATCTACAAGTGATTGTAAAAAATAAACAATATGCTGCTATAACAGCCACCACTCTTCTCATAAGCTGTACCACTTTCTAATAAATCATCCTTTCTAAAGAGTTAGTCAGTTGTGACTAATGGCTTTATTAATTTAATAGAATAATACATAATTTATAATGCTTTATAGATGAGTTATAAGCCATTTGACATTATTTATTTATTATTACCAGATAGAAAAAAGGATACACCAGCCAGGGGGATTTGTCAGAACCTGGCAACCAAAAAGTTGTTCTTATTGCTGGATTATAACAGATCCATAGCAAAACTGTTCTGTAAAGCATTAGTAAATGGTTCATTAACCACAAATAACTGGTAATAATTAGATACAACATATAAACCCTTTATAAAAGGTGATTCAACAGAAAGTGGTACCTGGAAAAGTTAGTTAGGTTGGCCAGTGACAATGGGCAAAAAGACTTGGCTCAAAGTCAGCAGTCCAGTTCATCCCAAAGGTGTTGGGCAGGATTGTAGTCAGGACTCTGTGCAACCCAGTCAGCACTCTTGGTGGACAATATCATTGCATGCTGTAACATTAAGATTTACCCCTAATTGGAACTTTGGGGCCTATCACAAACTATGAAAACAGCCCCAGACCAAAGGTACACAAAAGCATATGGCTGTTAAATTAAGCCATTGTAACTCCCTCCTTGTATGCATATGTCAGCATAAGGTTGATTTATTCATTGCTATTGCCTGACAGATTTTATTTAACAACCTATTTAACAATCGTTGGCTGATGTCAATGAAAAAGCAAAGGAACGTTTTCATGCCACATGCTCAACCCCAGGTCAGCCAATTTGTTAAGTGTTGTGAGGCCAGGATTTAAGTTGAAAGGGTGATACAAATAGGAATTGATTGGCTCATTAATAAAAGTCAGGTGATGGCAACACAGCACCTAAGGCTTATTTACTCTCTGTAGCACCTGGGGAATTGCAGATGTCTTTACTACTCAAAGCACGGACCAGAGGACAAGCATCCAGCAGAGACAAGCATCTGAAATTGAATGTATACGATTATGAATAGGTGCATACTATCATTATATAACCAGAATGGAAAATGCATGTTTGTGACAGCAATGTACCAAGGACCCAAGCACTCAGAGTTTTGCTGTGAGTCATGTTTTTTTACTGTGGAAAACACTGTTTAAATAAATGTTTTCTCTGGATTTTCTGTTTCCGTTTCTTGCAGCCCATCTGCTCTGGACATTTATTCAAAGATGAGAGATTTGCGTATTAAACAGCATCATTAGATTTAGGTAGGACATTGACCCTTTGGTGATGAATGATAAGACCCAACAATCAATGAAACCATTAGTGAACCGACTCTTACGAGAAACCTGTCCAGAGAGAGAGAGGTCAAAAACAGATGGACTGTATGCATTTTGGTAATGGTATATGTGCTGACATGTTTCACCACTGACAGCAATGCAATAAAATGTATCTCAGTGGCCTCTTCATACACATTTACAGGTACAGTTTCTTTGCATCTCTTCAAAGGAACAAACAACACAGATACCCTCTGACTGATTGCACTTCAAATGTATAAATAAATTAATTTCCATGCTGTGTCTTGATGACCTCAGATCAAATTGTAACAGATGACTTTCTACATTCACAGCTGAGAGGAAGAAGTGACTCTGGTGTCCTTGGCACCAGCTGTGTTTGTGTATAGGTCTGGTCTGGTGGTCTCCATGTAAACATTTAATTTATGTATAGTGTTAGTTAACATTAGCAAAAGGCCATCAATGTCCACCAAGGGCAGACACAGGTGACCTTCCTTTCTCTCTCCGCCACACAAACACATAGAAAGACACACGGGTCCGTAATGATGACGGGGGAGGGGATTAACGGTTGTGTAAATGATATTGGTGCAACATATATCACAATTTAGATTCATTACACAGTGGCTGCATTTCAGACCAAGGTTTTCGCAAAATAAACTAGGGCGATTTGTACTGCTGTAATGCTTCATGACTGCAATTGGTTGTCATTCTAATAACCCTATGGAAAAGTTTGGCTTTCATATTGATCTATAAATGTGTGAAATCATAAATGTATACACATGAAAAAACAGAATCATATATAGGAAAGATGTATAATATGAAAGAAAAAGGGATTTATAACTGAGGTAAATGTGAAAACCTTATTCTTAATTAACTATATCATCACGTGTGTAGCTTCAGTGTGTAATTCGAATGTGTTTGTTCTTTAAAATGATATTATTTCATTTCTGGGTCAAGAATATAATAGTAAAAAGTGTGAATCCACATATTGGTTCCTGTAGGAAAATAATACCTTGGAGTAAACCTAATTGAGTACACACAGCTTATCATTAATCATTAGACAATTACTGAATTGGATTGATCTTAATTCCCTGAAGGCTTTTGCCCAAAGCAAGTCTAGTGATCCATTTATTAGACTGAAGCAAGGATAGGGCAATTTTATTAATGAATATAACCTAACCTGACTAATTAGCTTGATATACTAGTTATTAGACAGCAAAGTCGCAAGTATGTAACAGTGCTTGCATGTGCACACATTTAGAAAAGATAACCAGAGAGCTGTGTACCAATCAACATTTTAATTACATTATGAGCAGGTACACGATCAGTTGTGTGAATTTGTGTGCGTGAAATTGAAGTGAATTTTCTACCACAATTTACTACCCTCTTAATACTACATGCAGTTATTACATAGTCAGTTTCATCCAGACTTAGACTGCATGTTAAAATAAACTAGTTAAGGCTATAAATCTACACTGCAATGACCTGAACACTAGTGAACATGTTGATGGAGCCATGTGCTGACTCCCTTTATTTATTTAAAGAAAATACATAAACAAAATTTTGACAACTTACATATGATGTAAATCACAGTGAGGACTTACTGTAGTAATAATAAACCACATCTTTTTGGTTTCTTTTGAAGAACATGAAAACATCACAAGTCCAGCTGGTTCACCAGTAAATAATTCAGAACAAAAGGAAAACTGAAAACTGTCGATCTTCTTAAGTGAATCATGCCAGTCAGACAGCTTTTAGTTTGCACCCATCAACAGACTTCACACACACCTTCATCTCAAATACAGATGGACCAAAAAAACTATGATTTTGTGGTGGTTGTGATGTTTATATAATTTATGGTGTGTTCATCAGAGATTATACCATGTTGTACCAAACTCCTCTCTACCTCAAGCTTCTACATTTATTATGAGACTCTCCAGATCTTGTCATTCCCTACCTGTCCACCAGATGCCCTCAGACTTTACTAGCAATTGCCAGTCACCTGATCTTGCTCCGTACGCCATATACAAATAGCAACCACTTCCCAGTCGGGCCTGTTAACTGCAACTGAGTTTAAAGACATTCTGTCAGTCTGTGTGACTTGCATTACTGACTGTCCCCTTTTAGTTTTATGCTTTGGACTGCATTTATGTTGCCAAACTAAAGTCTGCTTTTTGACCAAGTTGCTTTGATTTTACCTGTGCCAGTGCCATGCAATTTCTTCCAATGGCCCATTATTCTGAAACCCCTATAGTCCCAGTGGACCGAAAGGCCATTAGTCCAACATTCCAAAAACAAATGCCCATTGCTCCAAAACAGTTGCCTATTAACATACGTATCTATTATCCTTAGAGAAACATTAGTATTCATTTGGAGTTGTGTTTCAGGTGAAATAGGAGTTAAGGAAGACTCTTAAAAAGCAATAGCCAAGCTTGGAATTTGTTTGGGATTGTTATATTTTAAAGCACATGCACATATAGTATGGATCCCAGCTATGTGAAGAAATAGAGATGTTAGAAAGTATACTTATGGCCCAAGCCACACAGGGGTAACAGCCAGCAATGAGGTCTGTCCTGGTGGAGAAAGGCATGACCAAGGGTGGAGGATGGTTATATCCTGTGGCCTACCAATCAAGCCGTACCATGTGCTGCCATGTTGTAGGGGGATTTTGGGTTTAATTTGTTTTACT